TAAATATTAAAAAAAAAACTCTCTCTCTCTCTCTCTCTCTCTCTCTTCTCTCTATCTTAAAAAAAAAAGAATTAAGGGAATTGCTAGCCTTATACTATATAAATATTCCCATGGCTTTGATCCTTACTTCATAAGTATATCTCCTGTGAGTTCAGCTCTGGACAGAATATCTTAGGCAAGTTAATTGGATTATCAGACCTTCAAATTCACTTCATATGAATGAACCAGCTTGATAAAATAGCAAACACTTTTTGTTAAAGTTGACAATTTAGGGCTGGGGTTGTGGTTCAGTGGTACAGTGTTTGCCTAGCACATGTGAGGCACTGGATTTGACTCACAGCACTGTATAAAATTAAATTTAAAAAATAAATAAATAAAGGCATTGTGTCCCTTTACAACTAAGAAAATTTTTTTTTTAAATTGACAATTTAGGGTTGGGGCTGCAGCTCAGTGGTAGAGTGCCTGCCTCACACGTGTGAGGCACTGGGTTCAAACCTCAGCACAACATAAAAAAATAAAATAAAAAATAAAGATATTATAGGGCTGGGGCTTAGTGGTAGAGTGTCTAGCATGTGCGAGGCACTGGATTTGATCCTCAGCACCACTTAAAAATAAAATAAGGATATGGTGTCCAACTACATAAAAAAAATAAAAAATATATATATATTGATTCTGGATATGCTCACCAAAATTAAAACTACTTATAACAAATTCTTAACCATTTCTTCTTCCTGATATTCCTATTTATCTATCAATTTGCACATACATTCATATATGAGGCATTTAATCTTTTTAAGTTTGTTAAAATCTATGTTAAGAWGCAAAATATTAACACTTTATAAAGCTAAAATAATTTCAGTTACATTAATATAACTAAAGTTTTTTCCTTATACATAATTTTTTAAAAAATCACATTCTAAATATCTGTACATTATTCAAAATATAAAAAGCATATGGAAAAGAAAATAAAACTTGTAATTCTACCATCCAGTGACAGTTTAGATTTAATTTCTAGGTTTTGACTTAATTTCTTCTGGTCTAAATTAATCATATATATACATATATATTTGCTTAAAAATATGATATGTAAGAGATAAAATGGACATATAATCCAAACTAATATATTGTCATGAATAATTTTTCCCACTGACAAATATATTTATCACACATTTTATTATTATAAAATAAATGTATTGATGATTTAAATAATCTTGAATTTAATTTTTTAATTAACAAGTCCAAAGAATATGCATTTTCTGTGTGTGGTACTATGGATTAAATTTAGTGCCTCATGCATGCTAATCAAGTGTTCTACCACTGAGCTACATATAGCCCCAAGTATGCATTTTCTTTCTTTCTTCTTTTTTTAATTGGTATTGGGAATTGAACCTACTTTATCACTGAGCTACATCCCTATTCCTTTTTTTTTTTTTTTTTTTTTGGAACTGGGGATTGAACCCAGGGCCTTATGCATGCAAGGCAAGCACTCTACCAACTGGGCTATATCCCTGGCCCCCCCCATTCCTTTTTATTTCTTATTTTGAGACGGGGTCTTGCTAAATTGTTGAGGGTCTCATTAAGTTGCTGAGGCTGGCTTTGAATTGCAATACTCCTGCCTTAGTTTCCTGAGTCACTGGGATTATCGGTGTGCTGCACATGGCTCCAAGTATGCATTCTTCTTCTTTTGTTTTTGTTTTTTGTACCAAGTATTGAACCCAAGAGTACTTAACCACTGAGCCATGTTTTCAGCCCTTTTAAATTTTTATTTTGAGACAGGGTCTCATTTGGTTGCTTTTAGTCTTGCTAAATTGCTGAGGCTGGCTTCAAATCTTCAATCCGCCTCCCTTGGCCTCCTCAATGACTGACTGGGATTATAGGTATGTGCCACCACACCTGGCTTTCTTAAAGGCTCCTTATACATCCTGCAGAATTACTCCCTGAAAATTTAAACCAGTTTAAATTCTCTTCAGCAAAGTATAAAAATGTTTGGTAATAATTTCAGCTGAACATATTAATATTTTTCAAAAGTCATTTTACAAGTAAAAAATTACATTAGTTTTTGGCTGTATTCTTTTACCCATTAATGTGGCTGATTTTTTTTTTCATAATTTGTTTGTTTGTTTGTTTGGCACTGAGAATTGAACCCAGGAGCGCTTAAGCACTGAGCCACATCCCCAGTCCTTTTTATTTTAAATTTTGAGACAGGGTCTCACTAAGCTGCTCGGGGCCCACTAAGTCACTGAAACTGGTCTCAGACTGGCAATCCTGTGTTAGCCTCTCTAGTCATTGGGATTACAGGTGTGCACCACCACTTTTAACTAATGTGCCTTCTTTCCTTTGTTCTTTCTTCTATTGGTTATTCATTCTCTTATAAGACCTCTTTATTTGTTAATAGAATAAAGAGTGACATAGATATTATTATTAGTTTTTCAGATACCTTTCTTTTTTTTTAAACTTAAATGGGGGTGGGAATTATATAAACTATATAATTCTGTTATTTAGTGGGATTACAGATTTTTTTTTTTTGAGAGAGAATTTTTTAATATTTATTTTCTAGTTTTCGGCGGACACAACATCTTTGTATGTGGTGCTGAGGATCGAACCCGGGCCGCACGCATGCCAGGCAAGTGCCCTACCGCTTGAGCCACATCCCCAGCCCTTTCAGATACCTTTCAATGTAAGATGCTTTGATGTCTACATAGGCCAATATATCAGTCTATGTAGTATATTTCCTCTGCAGTATCTCTCACTGACTTATAGTTAGTCTTTTGCCATTCTGCCACAAAAAGGTCATCTGTATTTTCTTTGTTTTCTTATTTTAAACATTTTATATTACCATTTAAATTTATCTTGTGTCTATTTTAAATCAAGATATAAGATGAAGGGCTAATGAGAATTTATTTCTCAAACAGTTAATTGGTACACCCATTTGAAGAATAATGAATGAATGATCTTTATTGTTTATTTTACTCTTATGAGGATATGTGTCTTCTATAGAAATCTCTTCTGTTCTACTGTCCCATCCACTGATTCCTGGGCTACTAAACATTTTTAAATGATGTGGAAGTTTTTTATTAGGCAACATGACAAATCTTTCCTTATTATTCTTTTTTTAGTTCTTCTACATTTTCTTTATAGCCAAAAAAGAAAAACTTGAGAGAAAAAGCCAAACACAGAAGAAAATGGACAAAAACATGACTAAGGATTTCCCTCTAAATGAAACACAAACATGAAAAATACTTATATTCATTAGGAAAATGAGAAGTAATAATTAAAACAACATGATAGGACATATTAGCCATCATATAACAAAATTTGGAAACCAAATAATACCACGTATTGGTCAGGTTATGGGGAAACAAAGATCACCTTATGCTGCTGATGCGAGTGTAAATTCATTTGGCTACTTTGAAGAACAATTTGGCGATGTCTGATAAAATGGAAGTTAATATATGCCATCAATTCCACTTATAGATATATACCCTAGAAAATTTCTCACAGCACACATGCAAAAGAAATCCATGATGTTTGCTAAAGCAACTTTTTTAATTGGGAGAAATTAGAAACAGCAAAAATATCCATTGACAGGAATGAATAATTGAACAAATAAATGTGATGTAAAGCTACACAGGAGTTAAGAATAAATGAAGGTTTTATTTATCTACATTAATAGAACCAAAAATTAATTACAGAGGGAAAAAAAGTAGAATGGGATATTATATCATTACTTATGTAAATTAAATAGTACAAAAAATATATATTATTCATGGTTACTTATCTCACTTTCTATATAATGCATATATATAAACTAAGTATATTTGTTAAAATAATTGATACATATTAACATAGAAAATATAATTTGTAATAGGGAAATTTCTAGAATAAAATATATCAATACCAAGATTATGGTTCCATTTGGGATACACTGAAATAGTGACAGATACTTGAACTTCTTTCCAATTTTATATCAATTATACTAACACATGTCAATTCTGGGTATATATTATATCTTTTTTTTAAACTTTCCAGTATGTATGAAAGTTCTAAGACAAAGATATTTAAAGTCAATAATTCAGACAGAGTTACTGAAACTTCAAATCCAAAAAAAATGTGACTAATGCATCTCTGTGAGTTAATTCAATGTTATACAGCAATTTTCTGATAAGATTACTTAAATAATTAATTAATTAGGGAACAGATAGATATCTGAACAGATCAAAATTTTTAAAAAACTCTGATAGGTTACCTGGTTGTGAATATTCCAGGATACATGCAAGAGTGCTACGAATTAGAGCTGTCCACTGTTTTTGAGTTTCCTCAGTTTTGACCATTGAAAGTGTCACAATACTTTTAATCCCTTGAAGAGCTGCACTGACTGGTAGAGGAACCTGATTGTCTGCAGACTTTATTGCTGTGTCTTTTAATATTCTTGCAATTAAGAATAGAATTGTGGGCAGGATTGTCATACATCCTAAAATAAAAACAAATCAGATTACCTCATAATTACTCAATGCCACTGTAGATGTTTCCATTCCTTATTTTTTTTACAATTAATTATGTTTGTCTTTTTTT